ACCTGAGGGATATTGTACGTTTTTTCTTTAGTACCCACTTTTGTAAAATATGCTATACATTCAATACAGCAGCTGTTTCTTTTTCATTCTTATTTTTTTGCAGTGCTAGCAGAATACTTTTGTATTGGTTATAGTCTCCAGATTAATATTCTAATTGTATTTCTTTCTTGGCTTTTTTTTTGATAAATGTTTAAAATTGTGCTTGTAGGCTACTAAACTATTTTCCTTTTACTGTACTCTATGCTCATGTTAGAACTTTAGAGCACTTTCTTTGTCCTGAAATTATTTCAGTGTTCTTTATTTAAATTTTCACCTAAAATAGAAAGTAGCTGTTTATACACTCAGCAAAAGGATGTGTGAAAAGTGGAATGCAAAGTGGTGACTTCACATTCCATTTGAATGGATTAAATTAATTTATAATATGTTGTTATGTGTAATAGAATTTATATGGAGCTTTCATTCATATTATTGAAACAATGTTGTCTACCAGATTCATCTCAATTTCTTCAATAAACTCCTCAGACTTACTACGAATACAATGATTATGTATTATTGTATCCAAAGGCTCATGTTAAAATATGGGATGTTACTGAAAGTTGTTTCATGTTTATCTCTCCATTTTTTCTTCAGTGCTTAAAACTCACAAAACTAAACACCTTAAATAAGCATCCAGACTAAGAGGAACAAAGTTTCTTAGCTATCATTTATTTAGGCTATGTGGATAATTTTCTAATTGTTTAAATACAGTGCCCTCCACATTTATTCATGTCCATGATGAAAAAAAGAACAAAAACACAGGATATACTGAAACACAATGTGTTATGGATATCGTATCTTGAAAAAAAAATACTGCAATACTAACAACAGTTAATGGAGCAAAATCCATATGACTCAGTCATAAGAAAATTACAAGCAAATGGTAACTGACATCCACAAGTTGGGCAATGGCTATAAAAGAATCCCCAAAAAGCTGAATCTACTACATCCCACTGTAGTGTCCATTAATAAGATGGTCAATGGTGTGTTGGCAACCCTGCCTGAAAGAGGGTCTAAGTGAACTGAAAGACAAATAGTTAAAGAGATCAACAACTGCAAATCTCCAACACATACTGAAATCTTCAGAATAGTAAAGTCTCCAAAACTTCCACACTTTCACATTAAACTGAACAAATGTCAATTCATGGCTGGGCTGAATGGAGGGTGAACCACAAAAGGTGCAACTCAAATTTGCCAAATTATATCTAAATGACAATTGGAGCCATGTTTTGCTTTTATGGTTCGATTGAACAATACTTGATCTTTTAAAACATGCTCATTAGCATTATGTAAAAAAGGTGACTTTCATGTTGAGAAAAAACCTCATGCCCACTGTCAAATATGAAAAGGCATTATATTATCTTTTATGGTTGTTTTGCATTCACAATGTCCCTGAAGCCCTTGTTAAGATAGAAGAACTCTTGAACATCAATACACACTGGACATCTTGGCCAAACACCTGGTTCCCTCTGCCAGTAAGTCCAAACTTAGAATGAAAAAATGAAAATTCCAGCTTGACAATGATCCAAAGCATGCATCCAAGGATATTAACAAGGATATTTTGTGTTGTATACACAGAATACATTTTCTTATATGCTATTCTCCAGTCTCCAGATTTTTAATCCAATTGGACATTTGTAGTAAACGTGAGAAGGCAGTTTACAAATGGATACCAAGGGGTCTTACAGACTTAGAGGAGCTCTGCCTGGAGCAATGGAGCAAGAACCCACCTCAGAATTGCCAGATCTGTCAGAACAGAACTCATAGCAAACCACAGGACACGGTGTAATTGAAATACATACAAGAGGACTATTTACAAAATGTTAGCTACAGGGGTGGGACTAAACGTAACCTTTATGTTTTCTGGACTTGAATTGTTTACAACAAATATTACTTTGCTCTGTGCAATTCTATGATTGGATTAGAACAATTACACATTAGCCAATAAATCTGTTTCTGTTTCCAGATGCTATAAATAGCCTACTGAGAGGTATTAAGGATGGCATAGGTGAGTACTATACCAATAGCATTTGTTGCACTTTTAATGCCTCTGTTTAAATTATGGTTATAGAAATAGTCATCTTACACAGAAAGAGGGGTTCAGTGACTGGCTTGACATAAAGGTTTTGAGTGTAATGTAAGGCCTTTTCCTTCTGGACTACTGTGAATCATCTATACTAGTGTTGGTTTTTAAAACATTTACAGAGCGGAAACTCTGTAAATGGACAGATTTTTAAAACCTGCTGATTTCAGTCAATATTTTACTTTTTACTAAACTAGTTGAGATGGAACTCCTAAAGGTAGCTTTAATGATAACTCAGCTAGAAGCTGTGCAGAGCTGTCATGTTAATGCACAAAGTTTACTGTATTGGCAGATTGGTTTTAGATTTGGTCTTGTTGCTATAGTGTAGGAGTTTGAATCTGATTGTTCTGTGATGCTCCAAGAGGTGTTACGCCAGATATTTGTGTTTTTTCTTCTTTACTTCAATCTTATCCATAAGAATGGAGGTTAAAACTGTTTCAAGTTTTGTGCATTGTCCATTCTTTCACAGACTGTAATAACTACAAACCAACATTTCTTTAACCATAGGAGAAATAAATTGATATAATTTCAATTTATGTGTTCATTATAATTTATCAGATACTTATAATTGTCCATTATGAAAATATTAGTATCATTATTAACAGAACTGTATAATAATACAGCAGACAGTAGATCATTCTCCACAGCCTTTTGGGGAAGGTACCATCTTACCTCCTTCTACCACTTTTCATAGTCACCAGAGCACTATTCCTTTTCCTCTCTAGCACTTGTAATCTATTTTAAATATGTGTTTTAAGTTCATTATTGAGCATTTTTGCTTCAATAGCTGCTCTTTTGTTAGCAATCCAAGGTGCTTTTTTTCCTGATAAGACTTAATTATTCTTTGATTATATGAGTCGTAAACTAAAATAGACTGTGCACCAAAATAAACTCATTATACTGGCAATTAATTTATAAATTTACTACCAATATAATCTTAAAACCTTTGTTGTATAAGGTGTACTTTCAAAAAAGAAAAAAGAAAGCACACAGGAAATTGTTGAGGTGTTGTTGAGTAAAAATCAATCGATGTAATAAGATGAGCTGGACGCACACTCTCTACTCCAATTTTTCTTATTAGAACTTGTCGAACTTGTCAATGTTTTGACATACTTAAGCCTTTATCAGGACAGAAAGTGCACTGACATATTGAATAGACATGATATAGGTAAATTCATTATGCTGATTAACATTTTTAATCAACAGGATTGATCAACAGGGAGTCCACTGTAAAAGCCATTGGACAGTAATGTACTTGGCCAGTTCTTGAAGCAATACAAGCAGAACAACCTTGATGCAAGTTTTACACCAGGCTGCATATGCTGTCTTGTGGAATTCTGTTCTATTCCTGTCATGGGGCTTGGACAGGCACGTATGAGGCAATGGTCTCTGAGCTCTACATGCCATATGTCATATCAGAAATATTAAATATAAATATAAAATTAAGTGTTGCATGTCAGGCAGAAGAATGTCACATTCTCATGCCACAAGATGCAGTACAAATTCAAAAGATGCAGAATAATAATAAAATGATTGGTGATTCCAAAAAATTATTCTTGATATCAGTGCTTTCAACCATGAAAACTACAATACAGTACACGATAGGTATGAATTCAATTTGTGAGACACCAAAATGTAATTACACTGTATGATCTTCTCAGTGCTTTGTTGTCATATATTTCTTCCTTTCTGTTATTTTCATTTATTGATGATTCATGATGTCAACACATCAAACAAAAGCACAAAATCAATTAGAGGTCAAAGTACAGGATGTGACTTTTGTAAGTTTTCTCTTGCATTGAGAATAAATACAACAGATACACCTACAGTACATTCCAAACAGTGATTTGAGGAACTGTGAAATACAGTATGCAATACAGTATTTGTATACAAATCTAAAGGAGTGGGCACTCTGAAGAGACAAACACTACTGCCATTTTTATATCTCAAGATATGCTCATAAAAAATACAATATATCAGCAGTTTTAGAAAGATAAATGAACTAGTATCTCATATCTTTTTATTTATATTTTCTGTACCTGATAGAACAATTACAGCAACAAGTATAACTCCACGGGCAAAATTTTTGTTGAAAGGAAACTTTCTGTACACATAACCAGTTCATATAGACAACAGTGACAGAAGGGAATATATTGAATATATATATTTTGACTACTATAGATCATAGTAAGATCAGACTTCAAGTTAGGATTTTGTCTTGTGTGTTTAAAATCAGTTAGAACCAGTTATTTTAATGGAGAGACCTAGCACTGAAGGGAGTATTCAAGATGAGGTGCTCACCTGATTTTGCTATTTTTAGTTGTTACGGAAGGGAAAACCAGCGGGGGGGAAGAACAGTTAGCTCTCCCTGTGAATGACCCACATGTAGGAGTATGATATGTTTCCCGGAGGTTAAAAGAAATTGTGTTTTAGATAATAGTGGTAGAACACTAGACAGGTAAAGTGTGAAGCTCTCCCTACAGTTATGCCAAGTCACCACAAAGGGAGCACCCCAAAGAATCAGTTTGCTCCACTGTTGCAGAAGCAAAGAATGAGTGGTTAGTTCTCCTTAATGTATACACAACAGTTCTTGTTATGATGTAGACAAAATGAAAGAAAGTAATAAGATAAGATCACTTTATTGGCCAAATACAATTTCTTGCATTAGGAATTTGTCTTTTCGCATACCCCAGCTTGCTCTCCATGATACACACAGACAGGGAGAGAAGCTTGGGGTCAGAGCGCAGGGTCAGCCATTGCATAGCGCCCCTGAAGCAGTTGGGGTTAAGGGCCTTGCTCAGGGGCCCATCAGAGTAGGATTCCTCTGCTGGCCACGGGATACGAACCGGCAACCGTCCAGTCCAGTCAGACGCAGATCCTTAGCCACCGCTCCGCCCCTAAGTAGACTAAGTCTACAGGAAAACAACAGCAATACAAAAGTTGGCTTTGGGTTTTATAGCATATTACTTCTACTACTACTGATAATAATGTCACAGCTAGATGGTGGTGGTCAACATCTTGTTAGTATCAATGTTTGCAGAAGCCTCAAAGATAGAACAGAATTGAGGTGTTTACTGAGTTGTATAGGGTCTGAGAAGCATTGATCAAAGGAATTGTCTGGTTTACCTTGGTTAATTAAGTCCTTGGTAAATCATTAAAAGTGATCAATCTAGTAACACAGGATACAAAAGAAGAGAGACAGTAGAGAGAACAGACATTGCCAGTTGGGAGGTCCTTGTTTATATCAATGTTTAAGATCATATTCAAGTTAAGTATTAATAGTTAATAATTCCATTCCGACGTTTTTAGGAAACTCTGATTTCCTGTATAAAGAATCTCTAGGTTAAAAACAGTCTCTCTTGGTTATTGGATGCATTTTTTTCATAGGGAGATACCCTGTAGGTTTTCAATTCATTTTGTAGCATCCAGATCCAGAGGCAGTTAAATGAGGCAGATTTATCTTTCTTGTTGGCCTGTGTAGAAGTTATTCCAATTTTTTAGGATTTGAATATTTGATAGAAATCTGTTTTATTTTTTGGTTGCTCAGGATGTAGGCCTCTGAGACACCTTGTTTGTAAGTTGAATAACTTGTATGTAGTAACTTGTGTTGTGTGTATAGTGTGCGGTATTGTCAATATAGGCTGCCTTTATTACTCTTTATTACTCTTATTACTCAAAGCTTTCCAGAGGACAAAACTAAAGTGCCTCTAATCATACCAGTGAATTTGGGGAATTATGATTATTTTTTCCTGCTAACTGACTTTATTTAATTATCTCTTGCTGTCAGTTTGTAATACTACTACTACTAATAATAATAATTAGAACAATGGGTTACAGGTTAAGCTATTACAAAAGGTTACATAAGAAGGAGGGATAGTAGAGAAAAGTCAAGAGTGTTTTCTTGCTCAAAACCTATCGTTTAAAATTTCACATATCCCAGGAATATTCAATGTCAAGGCTTCAATACAATTTATAATAATAATTATAATAATAATAATTGCTTACGCTTATATAGCGCTTTTCTGGACACTCCACTCAAAGCACTTTACAGGTAATAAACCACCACCACCAATGCGCAGCATCCACCTGGATGATGCGACAGCAGTCATAGTGCGCCAGAACACTCACCACACATCAGCTATCAGTGAGGAGGAGGGCAGAGTAATGAAGCCAATTCATAGATGATTGGTAAGGGCCAATGGGAAATTTCGCCAGGACGCCAGGGTTACACCCCTACTCTTTTCGAGAAACGCCCTGCGATTTTTAATGACCACAGAGAGTCAGGACCTCAGTTTTACGTCTCATCCAAAGGACGGCGCCTGTTTACAGTATAGTGTCCCCATCACTATACTGGTGCATGAGGCCCCACATGGACCACAGGGTGAGTGCCCCCTGCTGGCCCCACTAACACCTCTTCCAGCAGCAACGTTAGTTTTCCCAGGAGGTCTCCCATCCAGGTACTGACAAGGCTCACACCTGCTTAGCTTCAGTGGGTTGCCAGTTGTGAGTTGCAGAGTGACATGGCTGCTCGCTATGTACTGTTTCTGGCTGAGGAAAAGGATAATCCATATGAAATGCATTAATCTTGTTAATTTGTAAAAGTAAAAGAGATGACTACAAAGGAAATCTGTGGCTTGTAAATCTTCTATTTTAAAATGAAGCAGTAGTCAAGGTGCAATCCTGGAAACCCGAACGGAGAAGGAATGGTTCCTAGAATTCAGCCTGTGGAAAGAAAGCCCAGTGTCAGTGCATGCAAAGAGTTGGGAAATATGGTTATTGAACATTTTGGTGAGACAGAGATAAATTCTTAGAATGCGTAGAATGGTGTCATATGTGCTTAAGAACAGTTAGAGAGGCAAAATGAAATTTCCTCTAGCATGCTGTGATGTTCAGGGTATCACTGAAGTCTGCATGTGTGACTATGTCTAAACCATAGGATACTGTGCATGGAAGCAGCACATGCACAGGACTGCTGTAACAGGTATAAGTCTAGTGATGTGACTATATGCAAATTGCATGGTGACTCATAGCGGACTGATATTGTGTGATAACTGGAAAGTGTTAATAGTGTTCTCTTTTCTTTATGTTTTGTTTTCTTTCAGTCCCTCTATTCCAGGTCCGAGTTCACACCTAATGCATCATCCCCGACTGTACGGTAATTAATGAGTGCCTAGGCAAACGATTCTATCTGTGAAGACTGCTATTGCAATTTGCTAATTGTGTTAATTGAATATAGATGACAAGAGCGCCTTACATAAGCACAGATGGTTTTTTAAGCTGCATTTACTTAATAACTTCACTTGAGTAGTGATCCATGAGGAAGACCTTTATTGGGGTAAGACTGTTATTGTAAGTATAATTTTTTGACCACTTTCCATTATGCAAAGTGGTCATTGTCTAATGGTAGTCTGTCTTCCCTAGACATTTAAGCCATTTTAATTTTGTATATGAATTTGCCTTATCAGTCTGTGTTTTATTATCACAATTGTTTATATTGTAACTCTTGTGAATTGTGACCAATTGCAGTGATGTTTTATTTGGTTAAGAGCTACTAGTTTGTACTTCTGAACTTTTCCTGTTGAAAATTAACCTTCTAAGTTTGATTGCTGTTTCCAATAAATTTGGTGGCTCAGCTAATTAAAGAGACTTGTTCTTTAGGAGCTCCCAGCTAACAAAAATGAAAGGTTCAAGTCCTCTATAACACTAGATAGAGTAGATGGAATACACTTTCCATTTTTATTATTCAAATATGTAGTGTAACCACTACATCATGGAAGAAAGCTGTCAGCTAAAATGGCACAACATAGAAATTTGTGTAGGGAAAGGTATGCATTTCTGGGCTATGAGTGACAAGGTATAGGTTACCATGGCTCTCGTGCCTAAGATCAGTGGGGACTTACCAATGTTAAAAGCATTTATTCCAGGTTTGGGTCAGGGGTATGCTTTAGGTTAAGATAAGCATTAGTTTTGTGTTGCTAAAATCCAAATGATCTACAATCGCTGTTGGATAATATTGCATTTTTGTCATACTATTAAGTGTTTAGAGAATGCCATTAGCAACCTTGATTCTAGACCATTTGACACTTTGCACCTTTCTTTATTTTATCACACTCTTCTGATACAGTATTGTCTGTATAGTGTTGTGCATAGGACAAGAAGCTAATGACAATTCTTTTCATCTCTTTCATCATTTGCATGTATTTTACACAATCACTAGTTCTGTTTTTGTGCTCTATATTAAATCTACATTGGCATTTTGATTTACACCTTCCTTATTTTCTGTAAAGAAAAGGCTTTCAGCTCCTTTTTGGTTGACTGGATGTAAATGATTGAGTACAAACTCCCCCTAAGGACTCCCCTGAAACAAGATAATCTATAAAACAAGAGGTTTTTAATCCTGGTGAGTGAAACTTTTAATAAATAAATAAGCAAGGTCAAAAGGCATCATGACATTTTGCTGACATATATTTATTTGGAGCTTAATAATGGGAGAAGTCACAATTAAAACTGTTTTCCAATTGAACGCTTCCAGAATAGGGATTTGCAACCACAATTCCACAGTGCAATTCTGACATTGTTCAGAAAATTATCTCTTCAGATGTTCTTTTTGAGTTTGGAACTGTCCCACTAAAGCAATTATATCCAAGATTTCCAAACTTTGTCTTGGGCTATTCACTTCCCATTATATACTACATTTTTAATACAACCTGCCACACTCTACAGCCATTTAAGTATCGCTTAAAGAGTTTTAAGATTTTATTTTTCACCTTATTTTATTTGCATTGAATATTCATATTTAAATAATAATTATTAAAATTCCAAGTAAGACTTTAAAAGAAAACATTTTTAACAAAGATATAGAAAAAATAAATATAAGATAGATGAAAAAATTAATTAGATAACAAAAAAAATGGTATAAGACAGCTACAAGACCTGCAAATGTCATTGGATGTATAGGGCAATGTAAAGAATAGAACAGACAACAAACATCATAAAATTATGCAGGAACAAAGTACAAAATCCTAAAGCCGGCATCATACTACATGACTCGACAGGACTTCAAGTCAGAGAGCATGTCAAATTTAACGACTGCAGTTGCTGAATCTCACTGCCTTTTCTGTCCTAGAGGGTGTCAAATTATACAACTTGGAATCTCAGGGGGTGACTAATTGTATGATTCCCTCAGGACTTTTCATCACAGTTCCAAATCTTGTATTGCACCACAAAAGTGCCGCGAGGTCGCCTCATTTTGGCAGCCAGTCAATGTGGAGCACACTGGAATAAGAGGAGGAGTACCTCACAAAAGTAAACAAACAACAAACATGAAACGACAAACACAAAACAACGAACAGATATCCATGCTGGCTCCAAAGTTTGACGAGCCTCCTTCCCCATTTGCATAGTCCAAAACACTCACTTTCCCTCTTTCCTTCCAGCCACATTGTATGCATTGTACTTCCAATTGAGCTCTCATTGGCTGTTGACTGTCACAGACTGTTACCACCCCAAGTGTCTAGGGGGTAAAGGGTGTAACATTTAGGATAATTTTTGGAACTGGAACTGTGATAACAAGGGTTGGTGCAAAAAGTGATTATTTTAAGGTGAATAAGTGACTGGTACATAATAAAACACAATAGCACGCAGGGGTAGAGAACTAGAATGGTGCCAAAGAAAAGAAAAGTGGCTAAGAAAGTGAGGGAAGTTGACCTAACTCCAAAAGAAAACCCAAAACACACGGTCTTCAGCATCTTCAAACACCATAGCTAACCTTCACTGACTACCCAAAACCATACAAGAAAAATGGCACTCACCCATTCTAAACTAGTGTTACTAATACAAAAAATCAACTACATGTGCAAAATGTACCCAACAACCTAAACTAACCCTATACACGACAGTTCACACAAATACACAAGGGAACTACAAATACAAACAAGAGTAGACACAAGTAACAGGGTACAAAAGAACGCAGAGGTTGATACAAGACGTTTGGGCAAGGTAATGGCTAAACAAGGATAAACACACAAACAAACGAAAGTACACAGAGAACACAAACCACCAAAGCCAAAGCTATAAGGAAACACACACACGAAGCGAAACAAAGCCGAAGCCGAAGCAAAAACCAAAAAGCGAAGCAAAACCAAAGCTGAGCCGAACAGGACCAAAGTCAAACGAAAAGGCCCCTTCATTCAGAAAACCTCCAACTTATATACTAAATAAGCTGCTTTCTGATTGGCTGAGAAGCTGATTGATGACAATGTCATACAGAAACAATGATGTAATGATGGGCCGATGTGAGAGGGAGAACAATCAAGGTCAAGAAGTCTGGAACATAGCATCAAAACACACATGGACCACACACTGGGACGTAACACAGACAAAAGAGCCCACCTCTACGACTTGCAACCCACAATGAGAAAATCAAACCAGTTTGTTTGTATCGTAGCAAGTCACAAAGTGTCGTAGGGGCTGTTAAGAGCGCTCTGACTGAGTCACTGGGGGTGTCACTCTACAGAACTGATGGTAACAGGTACATGCTGCGACACTCTACAACTCGCTGTGATTTTCTTACCATTATGTAAATGAAGGCTATGACTGAAAATCCTAGGAAAAGTCGTGTCGTGTGACGCTGGCATAACTCCGCAGTTCAAGAGCCTCGATGAGACAAGATTTTGTTTTTATCCTGAATGTTTTATACAATAGGTATATTACTGTACGTTTTTACATTTTTTCTTCTTTAGTGCCAGATCATGACATGCAACTTTGTGTTGTAAATATGATTATATAGAGCTATGTTTTTGTGAAATTTACTTTATCAAAGCGGCATTTAAATTTTTTTGTACAGCAGAAAATGGCAGAATTCTAAGTCACACACTAAAGATCTAAAGATTAACACTTTCTAAAGGTGTAGTGATAGCTGAAAGAAAAAGGTTGATTCTATTAAGAAAATGGCAGTAACAGCTTAAACCTTAGATTAAATTATTTTTATCTCACATCTTTTGGTTCGTTTGCTACAGTACTTAACTCAGCAGCATTTCATGGCTGAAAAGCACATCTGTATTCCCAAATCCACAATGTGTTACAAAACCCTAAAAACCCTATAACTAAATGAAAGGTAGATTAAAGTGTTTTATCCAAATAAAAACATTTAAATGGTCCCTTTCAGTAATTATTATAGCATGAAAACAACTGCTAAAATATATTTATATTAATGGTTGTGTTATTTAATAACTTTTTCATTTTAAAATAGTAAGAAGTCTCCACTGTCTCCATACACCAAAACGAACATACATAGGTAATATAATGTAAGCATTACATTCATCAAGTGCATTCTGTTATATGTAATATATTACAGATGAAACCTACTGCAACCCTTCCAACACTATCAGATTTTTAGATGTTGAATCACATGCTGTGCAATAAAAGTTTTGTTAAAACTGTACCGAATCCTATTATTATTTTACCAAGTTAGTGCATGCTTGAATTGAATGTTTTCAGTAGTTACTCAATTTTTGTATAAATGAACTTTAACGACTTCTGAAGCCTTGGCCTCTGAATAGTTTAAAAAGACACGACATTTAAGCAGCTTAATGTAACTTCAAAGCTTACAAGAGCTGTTTGTTTAATAAAGGCAGCAGCAATGTCTTTAGAGTAATCTCCCGTCTCGTCACATTTATTAATATTGCTCTGGGAAGCAAAGCTGTTTATGCAGTGCCTTCCTGACTAAGACCGTCAAATTGTAGTTTATCTTTGTGGATTGTATAGGCTTTGCATTAGAGGCACAATCAGCACAATCTGCCCCAGCATGGTAATGGAATAAAAAGAATTAAAGGATGATGTGTTGTCTTTGTATTTTCAATTTTACCTAGGTTGACAGGTTTGTATGAAGTAAAGGTGAACTAGGAGGCATAGAGATTAAGAAAAAACACCCCCCTCACACACACACACACTTACCTCCATCTCCACCAAATATTTTTTCTTCTCCTGAGTGCCTTCTCATGACAGAGTGTCTAATTTAGTATGTCTACCAATGAGTGGTGAGTGACTGGCAGGCTGAGAAGCCCAAACAGACAGATGATGTGTGATTGCACTGAATTGGCGTTCTCTCTCATAATGAAAAGCAGTGTACTGAAACAAGCTAGTCACACATGGATCACACCCCGCCACGACAGGTCTCCCCCCCCCATCCCCCATCACCCCTTTCAGCATCCTCACACCAGATAAAGGAGAATGAGCAGGCAAGGTGTTGACTTGTTTCATTTGCATTTAAAATAACACAAGTCAGCATTTTGAACGAGAACACAGTGATTCCATTGTTTAATATTTAAGTGTAACTTAGAGAAGGCTGAATGGAGTTTAACAAATTATAGTAGAATATGCACTGCATACAGTATCTCACTGTAGAAAAGAGTCAATTATCTTGCGTTTTTCTGTGTAAAAATGTATTTATTGAAAAGCTACAGCTAATTCTATTACATTGTTGCTTTGAATACAAGTGGTCAACATCAACCTATTTTATGGCCGTGGCATTTCATAAATACGTATATTGTGTGATATACTTTAGTCGGGTGCTTGTACTATTGAGTAATACCATAATGAAACTGAATTCCATTTGCATCTCTAGTTTTGGTTTATTTTTTCTTGTGTTGCCTTGAAATAAAAAGAAATGCTTACACTTGGCAAGAATTCAGAAAACAAATTTCTAAATAGCCAGGTGAGCTTTCTATAATGGCAATTGGGAATTAATAATTTATCGGTTGGAAGTCTGCATGAAAGCTTTTAGTGTTTGAGGGAGAGATTATCATAACAGTGGGGATCCAAAAGAGATTGCATTTGTTATTAGCTCACATTGCCTTTAAAAAATTTCTCAAAACCTGGGACTATTTTTTTACTCAAGATGAAATAAGCTTTCACATTTAGTAAGGATAGAATTTACCCTTGACTTAATTATGTGCTCTATTTAAATTTTATTACTACTCTACAGGGGAATATAAACATCTGACTGAGGAAGGGTTTGTAGATTTAACAGAATAATGGCGCTAGTGTCAACTAATTTTAGTTGACTTAAGAATTTGGATTTATTTTTGCATACTTAACCATCACATGTGTAAAAAGACATCTACCACTAAGTGCGCATAATTGCCAAGTGAAAAATTAGAATTCTCCAAATTAGTAGCACATATGTATTATAATTCCTCAAGGACTATGCATCCTGCATTAAAAACTGCTGAGTTGAGCAAGTATTTTCGAAAGGTGTAAGACAAGAACAAAGCAGTCTAGTACCTTGTATATGTATTTATTTTTGTTGTTTGAGTGGAGTAATTGGCATTCCCATATTCATGAAGAAATTCACCCCTTACCCACACAACATTGGAGCTGGTTCAAGGATGTCAGAATGAAGGATGCAGCAGTCTTTGTCAGTATTGTCACCTGGCATCACATCATCAATGAAAGTTTTCTCCACTCCAAGATCTGGAAACAATCGAGACACTAGTCACCATAACTTAAACATTGACAATACCACTGAAAAAAAAAAAGAACTGTAGCTATTGGAGATTATTCTCAGAAATCAGTAAACAACAATAACAACAGCTTTCTCTCTGCTGGGTAACTAACTTAATCATAGTATGGACAATTCTGCAGTTACTTTGTTTTATAGAAATGCATTTTACCAAACATGAATAAGATACAAGATAAAAAATCCAAGTAGCAAAAAAAAGAAAAAACTCAAAATACATTATACAATAAAAAATAGCATCTGCTGCTGTATTTGATCTTAGAAAACAGCTACGTTTTTACATAATATTTGATGGTATGCAATAACCTGTACTTGAAAGCATTTTTTTTGTTTCTTGCGAGTCCCTTCATGGGTAGGTGAAGACTATGGGGCTGTTCATGCTTGGGCAAAGGAATCTGGCATAACCAGCAAAATGCCAATACATTGCCCACAGTATGTAAAGGTGAGAAAACACTAACCTAAGAACACAACACATGACTGAGGACAGGGTATACTAAATAAGACTTCAGCTTTCTCAACCTCTGGAAGCCTTTCTACAACAAGGGCTATCTGTTCAGAAGTGAAAGATTACATTGTGATGTAAAGAGTATAATTCTAGGCAGAAAAAAATCAAGAACACTTAGAATAAAAAAAGCAAAAAAAAGTGTGGAGTGTTACATGCATGTAGGAAACAGAAACAGTAGAAAGGAGCATATTTATCATCTGTCATTTATCCTTTTTTTATCTTTATCTATCTTTTTCCATATTATTTTTATCTAAATACTGTATTTTGAGATGTGCATTCACCCATCTTATGAAAGCAAGCTTATAGATTAAACTTCAAAATAATAAGATAAAGATAAATTAAACTTCATTGTTTTGTGTAATAGAAAGTAATGTAAATCTTTAATTGATTTTGGCTAAAAATACAAATATATGGCTCTAAAATTATACATTTATAGGTTACCAAATAATTAAAATAATATGTGAAAAGAAATATAGATGATTAGGACTGATTGTGATGAAGGTTGTGTCAGTGTAAGACAACCAAAAGGATTTTCTGAATATTAACTTTACTATAGTCTTAACAGTTCAGTCCAATGCAATAAGTACTGTAAGTTATATAGTTATCTATCTTCGTATTTTACATTTTCATTCATTTTAGAACTCAAAAGGACTTAAAGTTCATCCTGATTCTGTTAATGAAATGCAGTCACACTGTAGCAACTTTCCGAGATGGATTTTTACCCTGTATGCATCATTTCTGCTTACCTTGCTTAACTCACGTTTCAGCTTTTTTTTTCAAGCAAAAGGTAAAGTTCAGGGAGTAGCTTTCCCAAATGCCACCTTCTCATCTGCAGCTCCCATGTGCCATGGATACAGACTTGCATGTATGGTTGAGGAAAATTACTGTGCTTTCATATCGCCTTAATGGCTTTGTAAGGTCCCTGATTGTAAAAACAAGTGTAAACAGTATACTTTGTCTTTTATGGAGTACACTGTAAACATTTTCAACATTCTGGAAGGTTTACTAGTAATGAAAATAAATTAATTAGTTGTTGAAGGTATGGGGGGAGCTTTGGGTGCTTAATCTATCACCCTTCTTAATTTCAGGCCTGTCCTGTGTTATCAGCAGTTGCTGAGTTACCCTTTTCTCTCTTTCAAACATTAATTCAGAAGGTTTTTTTCCACTATTTGACATGCTACTTTACTCCTTGGCTTGGTAATTGCTTTGGGCTTTCCACGTTTAAGTTTTCTTTTATGTTACCACAATTACTCTCTCAGTGGGTATGTAATGTTTTTGTTTCTGACGAAAACCTGCTTCCAGGTCAATGTTATCTTCACTTTCCTGAAGTGTGGCAGAGATATGTAACAGATGTAGTATTTTTGGAAGAGTAAAACATTTTGTGTTCTCTTCAAAGAGGGAAAAAATAAAGTACGTACGTCAGTGATAATTCTGAGAAATACTTGAGAGGGAAGGATGAAGATAGGATTATCTGTGAGTGATGGGCTCCTATGGTTTCCGTGAGTAAATTTATGTGCACATACCACACATTAATTGTTAAAGTTCAGCTTTTCTGTCCAAGACAAATATCAACACATTGCAGCCTGACACTCAGATTTTTCAAACCATTCAGAAGCTCTAAACAGAAAGTGAATGCTTGAGAAACAAAAGCTGCTTTTCTTCTCTCTTTTAGTTCATGATCTTGTTGCTTATATAGTTTTGCTAGAATCACCAGATGTTTTATCACTAAACATATCTCTTTCTGGAGAGCAATTTGAAATCTTGTATAGTTGTAGTTATTTTTATTTTTATAATTATTTTTATATTTTTATTATTGTATGTATAATTATGTATGGATTTTTAATATTTAGTTCTGTGTTTTAACTTTATGTTTTCTTTAGTTTTTATATCTGAAAATAGGAATAGTTTATTGTTGGATCCTCTCATACGAACATTTTGAAGTTACTGTATACTAATGACAAAAATAACTGTAAATAAAACCAAAAAGAGATTTAACTATTCAAGGTAAAGGATGTGCAGTTTAACTTGAATCATTCTGTATCACTGTTACAAAACATTATAAATACAATGTGTTTAATACTTAACACTATGACTTAAAAAATAAAATAAAAAATGTTATTTTATGCAATAATATAACATTTTTAGTATTTTTTATTGTTTGAACAAACTACCATTGGCTTATTAAATACATAAAATTGACATTTTGTATAAAAAATTCTTCTTTTAATTTGACCCCAAAGTAAACAATTGGCTCTGCTTAAGGCAATGTAGAGGTAAGGTAAATAATTTTATAATGTTATAACATACAGCTTTTCATACCTAGAAAACAAAAATACCTTTGTATTCTCACGCCAGCTTTCAATCTGTACAATAAATTGTTCACAGGAGAAGGCTTATATCCATTGGCTAAATCACTTCACAATTAAATTGTTAGGCTGCTGTGGTGTTGTGAAACCGAAGATGCAATCTTGCACCATTATAAATTGGTACTTTATCGCCTAGTAAGAAGTAAAGTCTTGATAGATCACTCTGCTTTGACCTGTGCAGAAAGATTAGTAGAGGTCTCAGATGCTGCATGGGGTGACTTACCAAGTTTCTGTTGATACAGGAAGCTGAAAGCCATTATGCTATTGATCATTGATCACTGATGACAAAAATTCCATCTCTCTAGATGTTAAGTTCTAAAGACTGTTTTCTCATGTTTTAAGACAGTGGTAAGCTGCAGTATATGTTTTGCAGAGTTTAGGAAATATGCTCCATGGTACCTCTGTGATACTCCCTTAAGACAGTAGCATAAAACCTTCTTGTTATTCAGTGACTGAAAGTATCAAATTACATGCAATTCCACAACAAACATTATGGAAATGACATTTTAAAATGATGTTATTTAACCACCTGTGGTTTTTGTGTCTGAAAAAGATTATGGATGGTAAAATTATTCTCCTTTTGACTATATTTTTCAGTTTTGTTAACAGGATGTAAGTATTCATTTACTGTAGGGTACTGCTGTCTTTACCTAGAGTTATTTGTTCTTGCTGGAATCATTATTTTTTCTATTTATACTACCATTTGAAAATTGACAATTATTAATCATCATCTTACCTTTATCGTTACTACTACAGCACAGGTTTGAGGTTTGTGAACTGATCACTTTCTCTATATACTGTATCTTCCTTATGGAAAACTGTCTTTCTGCTGTTATCTGTAAATTGTATATGTTATATATAATAGATTATTGTATCTAAAACATTAGAAAATATTAGAAATGTAACCAATAACAAAGTGAATCTAAAATGTAGAACATAAAACATAAACTTAGAAAACACAATGGTGATCAGAAAAGGTCAATCAAAACTCTATATTTTGGAATTTGTATGTGAATTTATATGTGATATGTTATACACTTTCATTTTTTTTTAGAGAATCTAATTCCTGTAAACAAAAACATGCCAGAACATTACGTTTTCACTTTTAACTTCCTAAACCTTGTGTTTCTTCAATATTTGGGGTCTTTCGAGAGGGGATCAAAGTTTTGATGTCATATACTGTACATTTGTAACATAGCCCAGAACATAAGAAAGGTTTCAAATGAGAGAAGGCCATTCAGCCAATCTACATCGTTTCTACAATTGATTTAGTTGTAGAAGAAATGAAGAAATTGTAAACCATCTAATATTTAACCAGCTTTTGGTTCTGGAATGTCTAGAAGTAATTGCATTAATATATTGCTATAAGCTAATGATGGCAAATCAACCATTTTTAATTGTTGACACAAGATTAGCTAATTTTATGTATGTGGCTGAATAGAGGTAGAACTGCATGTTCCAACGTTCAGATTAGCTAACACTGTTTTCCACATACTGCTTAGCAAAATCTGTGCCAAACAGTGCAGTGTGGCCTATAGCATGAAGTACAGTATTTGGAATCCAAGAGTAATACTTGCCAATTGTGAACAGGATTTCCTAGTGATTATGTAAACTTGGCTGTCTTGCTTTTCTGGGTGGATGCTGAGCTAGACATTATCTGTTGGGCTTATGTATATTGTCCATTTGGTACTATAAATGTGCTAGTAGATTTTTGCAAACACGAGCGACAGCTCAGCAAAGTATAGAAATTACAGAATACATTTATCCATTGTCTCCATCTCTTTAAAGTCATTGTTACAGTGTGTTACATTGTTACAATGAGTGGGGCCTGATGAATGAAGGTTTTACAATGTGGACATAAAAAGTACAAAACCATCAAAGATTATTAATACAAAACATTATTTTACTTGAATAAACCTATATATATATATTACATGCATTGTATATTTTAAACAACTTTCTTACATTTTAAAATATGCTACTGGGCATCATACTGTGGACGATAGGTGCTTAGTCACCTATGGTTGTAAAACTGCCATAAGCACAAAATAAGATAAGATCACTTTATTGGCCATATACAATT